TGTGTGTGTGTGTGTGTGTGTGTCAGTGAATGAGAACCTCCCATCACAGATGTCATGTTAAATCAGACCCATTACACCCCAATGGGTTCTAAAGTCTTTGTGTTCCCACTCCATTGCACCTCCTCCTTGATCAGAGCTGTAGCCATCCATGCAGACTTTTCTGGGTAGTGCTCAACATGAATGACCTTTTTATTAATACGGAATACTATTAACAACAATATGACAAAACTAAATGTTTTAGATCTTTAGGCAAATGTTAACTTTGTAAACATGTGTAGATTTGATATCACTTCTGGGTTTTATTATTTATCAATGGCCTAATGCTCACAGTACCTGTTCTTTATATACTATATAAAGGTACTTTATACAGAAGTCAATGGTTTCCTTCTTCAGCTCCCTCTGAAACTACCTTTGCAGTTTGCTATAGTCCCTGATCATGAATACTTAACACTCAGAGTAAACTGATGCAAGACACGGCCACACATCCTCTTGGTAACAAACATCTACAGAGCATACCTCGACCTTCTGCAGTTATTGCCGAATCTCGTCTGTTATCCAAAAAAAAAAAAAACCTAAGCCTCTGCTCAAACGCCTCATCTGCTGGATCTTACAGTGAAGTGTGTTCTGTGATTCAAAAGTAGTCCGCCGAGTGCTGGACTGTATGACAGTACAAGAAAAAGTCCTTAAACCTGGGTGGAATTATAATGCACTTTGACTGTTTTTTTCCCCAAACCCAACCTTTGCTGCTGAATGTATTTCATTGAGCTGACTTGGTTAGAGATATTTGACCAGATGTGCATCAAATTTAGTCTTGATTTATGTTGGTTTATGGGCCACTAAAATTAAGTGCATGCCAAATGTTATAATTCAAGGCATATTGTTTTCTTAAACCAACTAAACATAGTTTTTTTTCTATCAGATGCAGTGCTACTTTATTTTTTCCAGTTTTATTTTTTTTATTTTGCATAATGACTTTAAATATTTAAATAAGAAAATTATTCCTTTTTTGATTTATATCTTCGTAATTAAAGTATGTTTCAGATTAATGGTTTCTACTATAGCATAGATGTGTTAGTAACTAAGTAAATTTACTTTGTTACAGTACTTCGGTATTTATTTTTTTGAGGATTCATAATTTTACCAAGCATTAAAAAAATGATAATTTTATTTTTAATTTCGTTGCATTTAAATATATGCCTGAATGCAACCTCACTGGGTCTTATTTGATTTAAATGAGGATAATTCATTTTGAAAAATGACAACCAAATTTAAGAAAAAATAAAATTAAACATCCCTATGTCCTTTTTGTAAAACACGGAAYTGGCCATATCATGGTTTGGATTTGTCTGCTACATCTTAGCCTTAAGGCTTTCCATTATTGATGACTCAATGAATTATGAATAATGACAGCAAGTTCTAAAAAAAATGTCAGGACATCTGTCTGTGAACAAGAAACTCAGAGAAAATAGGTCATGCTAGAAGACAACAGTCTGATTCCAGTTGTTGCACTAAATACTTATTGATACAAAATAAACTGTGTTCTGGTGTGACCAAAATATGTTTAATAGTGTGTAAAGAATGTCCTAAAAGAATTCAAGTAATTTGTTCAAAGTATTAAAAGTTCTGTCTACAAACAAAAGAACAAGATTAAAGAAGCAGCAAGTATGATAGGTGGTGTGGTGGTGGTGTGTGTGTGTGTGTGNAATTTCATGTCATTAGCACCTCTAGTAATATATTTACTGAGAAAAATGTTGACGTGTTCAATATTTATTTTACCCGCTGTACCTTTCTGCAGTAACAAACAAATCTGTGGAGTGAATTAAAATGTATTACGAGTTTTTGATGAAAACAAACCGTTATTTTAACCTCTGAAACAGATTTTGAACTTTCAAAGAACTTTTGCTGAACGTTTCATTAAAACGGTGTAGAAATTACGCCAATTTTGTGAATGGATGACACATTTTCACATCATCTAATGAAAGTTCTGGACATTAAAGATCCCAAAATTTGGCGTTTTAAGACACTAACTTTCCTTTTCTGCACCTATGAGCTCATCATTGAAAAGTTAACGCTTTTTCAATAAAAAGGATTTGTTTTAACGTACATCTTGGTAATTTTGGCAGCAAACTGGTAAATCACACGAGCCTGAGCGCAATGCACCATTTCTCTGAAACAACTTCCATTTCCCAAAAAGGAGCTGCTTTTCTTGTGATTTCAGCCAGGATCGTTTGAAACATAAAACCTTGCAGGGATGTGACAGCTGGTAAAAAGTAAAGATGGCTCCAGCAGCTTGTTCTGTATTCTCTGGAATATCTGAGAGGACTGTGCAGGAAGTTTTCAATTTGAACATTTTTTTTAATCAAATAAAAAAACTATATCAAATAAACCTGTGGCTATTTCCCCTGCTCTCTGCACAGCTCAGGCTGCAGAATTCTCTGAAAAGCCATTCTTTTTTTTTAGCCTTCAATATACTCTGCGCGCACGTGAACGCGCTTATCTCAGAAAGTGTGGCGCCAATCTGTCCATTCACTGCGACTCTTTCTCCGCTGTGCAAACTTTAGAGCTGAGTAATTAATGACCACTTATTAATCAGCTTAACAGTTTGAACAGCTTGGCCTCTAATGATACGTGTCTTTTTGGAAAACTCTTTACATCTGAAGTAAAAAAAGGAAAATCTGAGGTTTGGAGCTGTATGGGTTTGATGAAGTTTAAGTTAAAGTGAAGGTGTGTGTGTGTGTGGGGGGGGGCGGGGGCAGTGTTTCAATTTTTAATTAAGAGATAAATTGAGGCTCAAGTTAAATAGAAATTCAGAGGGGCTCTTTGGTTCAGTAAATATGCTTCAAAATGGGGCCAATTCTCCAGTCGACCGACAGCTGGGCCAGTTTTGGCCTTGTTTATTAAATATATATAGAAGATTAAGTCTTGTGCATCTGCATGAATTAAAGATGAGTTTGTGGTACTGGTTTCAGATCTATTTTATTCGGTTGAAGTTCTGCTACAGTCAAATTACATGCTTTTAAATCTTGTTTTGTAGGGTTTCAAGGAAAGAACTGTGAGAAGGATGTAGATGCCTGCGCCCTGCCTGGCAGCACATGCCCACCAAAGACGCGGTGTTTGGATCTCCCTAAAGGCCTTGACTACACCTGCCGTGTACCCTGTCCTCAAAACCATCAGGTAGGCGGCATAAAGCATCATCTTCTTGTTTGTTCTCCTGTATTTATTCACTTCATGAATAAATGCTATAAGGGCCACCAGAGACCTATTAGCTTCTAAAAAAGTGCATGCTAGGCAGCAAGTTGGGAGGGTGTACAGGTGAKGTAAATGTACTATTTTACATTTTCAAGCAGCTGATGTTTGAGGGAATACTTGACTTATTTTGTCAAGTCCTTTGCATTTGTCATTCACAGTGGGAGCAGATTTATGAAACTGAAATGACCACCTGCTACTCGATGCAGCTGAATGGTACAGAAAATGTGCATGCCACTTTTTTATATGGTGCTTTTTTTGATGAATGGTTAAACTGACCTTCTGCATAAAAAGTAAAACGAAATTAAATAAATKAAATTGGAATAGTATTTACTGCAAGTGAGAGCTGGGAAAGATCCTTCACTGGTGTAGAAATGCCGTAATGTCTGCATTAGAAATTGACCAACAAAGGAGGGTCTCCCTTTGTCGTTTTTGTTTTCCTTTTTTCATAAATGAACCAACAAGTTTCATATTTTGAGTTTTTTTGTTTCAAAGGCTTCTTGGCAGTTTTGGCACTCAATGACCATTGATCTTGTCTTGTAAGGCATGAATGATGTAGATGCCACAGGAATACAGAGTGACTCCCCATAATAATGCATGAATCAGTATTCATGAGAGGGCCATGTGTCTGTAATGAAGCTCATTTTCAGGGAGCCAGAAGCAAAAAAATGATTAGATTTTTTTCTTTTTGTAAAAAAAAAGTTGTTTCTGATCAGAATGGTTCCAGTCCAATATGCAATGTTAATATACAAAAGGAAACCATTTAATTTGCGTCTCTGATTTCACGACAGCTGTGTAACTTCTCTTTTCTCAACAGCCCTGTGCCAATGGAGGTGCCTGTGTGTTGAGCAGCGCCAGTACCTACACATGCATCTGTTCACGTGGTTGGTCCGGTCAGAACTGCCGTGTAAATGTCAATGATTGTATTCAGCACTGGTGTCAAAACGGAGCCACTTGTGTGGATCAGATTGGTGGTTACAGGTGAGTATTCAAGTCTTGCATTCAGGCCTCTCTGGTAGCGAAATGTGAATGACTTTAAAAGCCATGACATTTACTGCTCTTTAATGGCTGAGGAAAATCTCACTGCGTGCACCATTAAAGAATTCTCTTTAATCTGTCACCAGCTGCCTTTGTCCCCGTGGATACACGGGGGTCCATTGTGAGCAGGACATTGATTACTGTGTCCACAGTCCCTGCTCTGAACATGGCGTTTGCCTGGACCAGCAGTATAACTTCACCTGTCGCTGCATGCATGGTTTTGAGGGGCCGCTCTGTGAGGTGGAAGCAAATGAGTGCATCAGCTTTCCCTGCTCAAATGGTGCCACCTGCGAGGACCTAATCAGTGATTATCGGTGCCACTGTCCCCTGGGGTTTGAGGGTATGAGTCCAGCTGATATGAATCTGACTCCATTTATGAATCTGACTCCATTTTCGAACCATTAGTACATTCACTGAAGTATTCAGCTTTTGGTGTAGACTCTGTTGTTTAGATGTTAAGGTTGTGAAGCTAACAAAATGCAGCATTTGGGTAAGGTCACCATTTTGAGATGTGCTAAATACAGGGTTCCCACGGGTCCTTGAAATCCTAGAAAGTTTGTGAATTTGAAAAAAAAAAAACATATTTCAAGGCCCTGGAAAGATTGTGAAAACAGCCAAAAATTACACTTCCCCTTGAAAGTCTTTGAATGTTTTTTGGGGATTGAAGTTCTCTATTCACACAACTGATTTTCATCATCTGTAGTAAAAATAAAATAAAATAAAATAAAAAACTTACATTTGTTAAGGTGGATAACTCAGGATTACGGTAAACTGACGTGGCTTGAGCCATAGTCATAGTTTTACCCAATCAGAGCAGAGTAGGGCGGGTCTTTCTTTCTGAGCCCAGGTGAGAGCACCACAGCTCCTCCTGTCCTCACCGAGTGTCTGGACATGTTCACATCCCCTCCACCCAAACTGAGCTGCTGAACCTCCCAGAACATAATTAGGTGTGGATATGAATGTAGGGTATACATTTAATCCACTTCCTTTCATTGATTCTGACTCAACAACTTCTATATTGTTCAGTTTTTCATTGATTTTACACGATATTAAACCTGTTTATTAACATTCTGCAGTAGCAGTAGGTAATTGCATCGTGTGCGGTTTTGAAATTTGAGGATATTGGAACTGGAAAGTCCTTAAAAGGTCCTTAAATTTGATGTTGACCAACGTGTGGGAACCTTGTAAATGTCCACTTTTGAACACTTATAGAATGGAAGTAAATACTGAAAAACAATCCCTGTTCTTTTGGAAATGTGGTGCATAGGTTATTCACTTAAGGAGATGTGAACATTTTTTCTCTATTATCAATTTTTAGTTTTATAATTTATAATTGGCTGTCATTTAGACATTAAATCAATGTGACTTAAAATTTATTGAAAATAGTACAGACAACAGCTGCCTTTATAAGACATGTTTTCCAGTGTGTGGGGTCATGATGGCAAAAGTACAATTACCTATAGTCTTACCAGTCATGCAGATGGAAAAATAGTGCCCTCTGGCTCATAAAGAACAAACAAGTCTGAAAAACTGCCAGAGGCCAAAGCTGATAGAGCTTTAAATTTTGGTGGTAAAATCATTAATCAGTTACATCACCAATTCCTGCCCTGAGGATAGTAAAACTGAAGTTGCACCATTTATCCATACGCACCATGATGAATATATATGATGCAGCAATATGTCATCAGTCAGCTGCACTTTGAGCCTGCACAATTCAAATTAATCAGCTGCCTCCATGAGGCTGAGGAAATAAAAAAATAAATAAAAAATGTCCGTTTTTTTAAATACAGTATATGTAAAAATATGAGGGTTCGCAATCATTTTTTTAGTGCAACAACAGAGCTTATTTTAACAAAAACATGTTCCCGTTGTATTTCTTGTTTTATTAAGGAGAGTTTATTAATGTCTCTGCTTTTATTCTGCAGGAAGGGCCTGTTCTCAGAATGTAAATGATTGTTGGTCGCAGCCTTGTCTAAATGGAGGCTCGTGTTTGGATCTGATAAATGACTACATTTGTCACTGTCCTCTTGGTAAGTAGCATGTACTTGTGTATTATTGAGCATGTTTACAAAAATACCATGCCATTAATTTTCTGAGCATTGTACCTCGGGAATACATGAAAAGTTTATTTTATTTTATTTTTTTCATCCTACGACTTGTTGTCTTTGGAAGAACATTTGCGACAAACAGTGAAAAATCATCAAAGATAGCAATGAAACAAATTATCATTTACTTTGGTCCTTTCACTGTTTGGATGCTTTTGAATGCAGGCTTTTAAAAGAGCTCCATATAAAGAAAATAGAAGCAATAAATCTAAATTATGGAATATAGTTTGTAAAAAAAGGCACTATTTTAGAAAGGGGTCTAAAATCAATGTCAGTAAACCTATAAAAATGAAAAATTGATTACTATCATGTTAAGTTATAATGAAATCAAACATCAGTTCCCTGTTTTAACTAAGTTTTTTTTATTTTGCCCTCAATTCAAATGACAACCTATTTTACAACTAAATACATATTTGATGTTCATTCATAAGACTGAATTGAGACATGACTTACAATCAGGTCATAAAAAAGAGGGGTCACATTTATTTGTGTGCAGCTAATTTTAATATTTTCRATGGTAATAAAATATTTAATCACTGCTTGATTGCACAAGTCAGACTGCAAGAGACAAAAGCTTTGTCACAATCAGTTGTACACAGCCACTATCCTCAGGATAAAGTTTACAGATAAATATTTTAACCATAAAACACAAAGGACAACAGATATGCTCTAGAACTGAGTAACTGGTTACATTTGGTGGAGGAATTTTGAATTGTTAATTAATAATTCAGAAAAAAAATAGTTGAACTGTGCAGACCTTTTGCATTATGTGGAATATATTATTTAAAAATGTATTTAGTTATTTAGATTTAATATAGTGAAAGAAGAGTATTTTATGTGTGTTGTGCTTGTTGCTTGGTGCGCTTTACGACACTATAGCCACATAAAATGCATCCCAGTTAATAATCTGCTTTTAGTGTTTTTCTGCCTCTCACTCGAATTAGATTTTGGCAGAACCAGAACACTGACGTGTGAGTAAAGCTTCCATTACTGTTTTAATTTTACTTGACAGATTTATAAACAGGTGTTTTGATCTTCTTTGTCTTTTCAGAAATCCAATTAAGTAAATGSTCTGCCAAGTTTTTATGTTTTTTTTTTCTCAAAAACACACAAAGAATCATAAAAGGACACTATTTTCGGCACTCTGCTGTCTTCTCCAGTTTTATTGGGATTTCATTTTTCCTTCTTTTTTATATATTTTCATGCCTGCAACTTCACCAGAAACGGGCCCAGCTCTCAGGAGTATTTCAACCAAGGTTGCCCCATTCTTTAGACTTATTTTAGTGACAGAAAAAAGTCAAATTTGCATCTTGATCTGCATCGTAGCACATGCTGGTTGATGGTTGAGCTTGTTAGTCACAGTCTCTAACAGTTGTGTCAGTGTTGTAACTGAAGGATAAAGGAATTTACTGTTACATGAATACATTTTACAGCCTAGCTTAGAATGAGCTTGTCATGTAAATTTGCATCCAGCTTAAAATTCAAGTGTTCTACACGTCTGTTTCAGAGTTCAGAAGCAATTTGGAATATGTTTTAGTATTGTGTACTTATCTTTGTCATCTTTACTATTTGTGTATGAAATTTAGCAAAGATAAAATCAAATCTAGAACAATTGATGTTTGTGACATAATCTGCATWAAGCAGAAGATAAAACGAGTTATGCAGGGGAAAAAAGACAAGAAAATAGCTAGTTGATGTTTTACTAAACCCGTTTTCATGAACTGCACATTGAATACTGTTTGATAAAATTAGTCAGACATAAGTTTAATCCAGAGTTTGTGCGAAAGAGCTTTAGTTTGTGTATTTAACAAAACTGCATGTCTCTTGATACGAAGGATTTACATAGACAAGTGAAATGAGAGCTTTTTTTTTCCTCCAAAAAATTCCTCACTGTTGTTATAAACCTCCAACAGCTGTCCGATAGAAAAGGGGAGTCCCATTTGGAGATGGTGACACTGTAAATGTGACATTCCTTCACGCAACATTAACCTCAGAGTGAATTGCATGCACAATTGGTTATTAAACACTTCTGAAACACCTTGTTGGAGGCAATAGCTGTCCATTAACTAGTCAAGGCGATACATAATGTAATGGGAAAAGGGTAACTGGAAGGTCATCAAGCAACTAGATAGACGGGGTGATGTAAAGTGAACTCCTCTGGACTCTGATTACGACGTATTAAGAGACAGGACTACCACATTCTAACAAAACTGTTGTCTTATCTGGATAATCATGTTTTGATAAACCAAATGTGAAGTTTTTGGTTTACATGTGTTCTTCCAAAATAATTGCATCTGATTTATAGGCTTGCAATGGTCTTTTCCTTTTATTAAAATGCTAAATTAATTGATATCCTTCATAGAAGGCGACTCATGACCTGTTGTGGTCAAAGGTTTTCCATTGCTTAGAGTTCCAATGTGGGCACAACTCCTATACTGGTTTTATGGCTCCTGGTATTCCCAGGTGGTCTCCCATCTGAGTACTAACCAGGCCTGCCCAAGTTTAGCTTCGGAGCTCAAACAACATCTGGCATGTTCAGGGTGGTGGTTGAATCCTTGATTGATGTATAAGTTGTGACTTTAGATTTTGATGATGTAAATTTTAAATTCATCGACTGGGCTTTTTGATCTAAAAGTATTCAATTAGTCTACTTGTCAACTAGTTGACATTAAAGCTGAAGTAGGTAACTTATATTTATTTGTGCATAATATGATCACATGTATAATATGTAACCCCCCTATTTTAGCTTAAACGCATAAAAAATTAAATTCTCATACTACCTCTAATTTCATACAGACTTCAGGATTTTTCAGCATTTGCAGTCTTTATACAATTCAGTAAAATGATCATTTGACTGTTGTATCACTTTTTTATTTAATTTTATTTTCACAACGTATGTACTAAAAGGTACACAACAACAAATGTATAATAGTAACTACAACAAAACCAATCAATGTGAAATTTAGCAATGCTCATTTGTTAACTGGTGGGATATAACAAACAGGTATGTGGCTCTAAGTGTGGATGAAGCTGAATCAAAAGCCTTCAAAATCAGGCTCACCATCATCTGTATCATTAAAAGTTTCTGGTATTCTTCCTCTGCTAATAAAGGCATCAGAATCCCACTCAACAACAATCTCACTCTCTGTGTCTCGCGAGCGCCCCCTCTGGTGGGAAAACCTTTTTTGGGTAGACCAACTTTTACAGAACACTGGTAGACGGCAGCCATTACAGCCGACCGTGCATGTGTTTGCTCCAGGAGTGGCCCGGTCGCACATTAATGCCATCAGTTCATTATCATTACTAAGCTGCAGGACTGCCTTTTTTTTTCTTTTTTTCACAACATGTTGCCTGCTTGGATCTGTTACTATCTCGCTCAGAGGCACGAAGAAGTGTCAGAGYTAAGCTCGCTTAACCTCTTTTTATGATGAGGTTTCATTTCCAGGCTCAGGCATTTTGTGAATGACGCTAATATTTCAGTTAAAATACATAAGCAAAAATATTTATCCAAGTATAGTACTACCCCCAACCGTTTGGATGATTTTATGGATTTAATTTTTCGTATTATACTAGAATAAATACGGTATATAAAATGTTTTTCTTTAATTTTACATATTTGTTAAAACTGTCACTGTGTCCTGACAGTAGAACACGAGACAGATAATCTGTGAAAAAAATAAAGCTCCTCTGGCTCCTCCCAATGGTTAGGGTTAGTCATTTGCCAGATGCACATCACTCCCAATCAGAAACAGCCAATCAGAGCCTGGGGGAAATGTCTTACCAATGTCAATCATGCTTGTGTATGTGGCACTCACGCCCTTCCCATGTACAGCTTGTACCTTTGTTTAAGTTCAAGACTGCTGGTGTTTTGCAGCTATGCTAATGGAGGAGAAGCAAGCTAATGCTACAGGAAAGAGAGTTTTGAATCTGCCCTGCAGTTTATTTGCCGCCATTGGTAGCTCTGCTGCTAAGCCTGCACATTCACGGTTCATCGCTGTAGAGGGAGGGCTGTAGTGCAGCACAGTGTAAAGTGGACCGATCTGTAAGGTGCATATTTATAAGTTTTCAGGCCAAGTCCACAATTTTCTTAGATCTTCCTACTGTAGCTTTAAATACARATTAGCACAACAGCAGGTTCAGCAACTCTGAACTAAAAGCTACCGTGTAATAATGTGTTTTAGCAAATAATGACAGAGTAGAACACAGGTTTGTGGCCTAACCAACAACTAATGTTCCCCAGCATAACATAGATCTATCTGACAATCTAAATACTCCCACTGTGCACACAAAATTGTGTTTTTAGATTGAGGCTGTCAGAGACATTATAAACAAAGAATCCTGCTGCTTAAAAGGTCCAAAGCAGAAATAAATTAAACGTGGCGGTGATTTGAATGTTCCCTGCTCCTCCTTTGAGAGGGATAGTTTTCTGCCAACTGAAAACACCTATTTATGCAAAAACACTATTTTTTCTGATCCTACTACTTTCTCTTCTTTTACTTTTAGCTACAGTTTTGCTAATTTTAACTTTTTCCTCCCAAAAAAACCTTCTGCTTGTTTGAACTTCAGCTTCTCCAACATATTCCACTAAAGTCATTCAGCACTCAGCATTCACACTGCGTTTTCACAGAAACTTCTAATTTCTCTAGTTAATGGTGAATCTCATTTGTATTGTTTTACAAAGACACCCTGTCTGTACCACTGGCATTTTACAAACAGACTGCGTTCCTTAAGCTCACATTGATGTTTATTGGTGCTGAAAAGAGAGTGGGAGAAAGTGTCTTTATGTTGAGAATGATTATTCTTTTATTCTTTAGAGGTTTTGAAGAAGCCACATGCAAAATTGTCACATCTTTTAAACTTCTCATGTCCTCTGATTGTTGGAGAGCTTCAGCAGTTCTAGTCTGTATGTCAGTTTCACTTTTCTTGTCACTTCTACTTTCTGTGATTGCTCCTTTCCTCTGAACAAACACAAATTCTCTTGTCATAAACTGGTGAGAATAACATTGAAACWCTTGGTCCTATTTGTTATAAAAGCAGAGATAAGATGAATGCATMCAACAGAAAATGGTATTTATAGAAAAACAAGTGCAGCTACAAACCGTGCACCTTATGCACACTTTAGGTGGATTCTATTCTGATTTGTATTTATTTGCTAAATGTCTATCCTCCCCTCCTCCCWCCTGCACATACACCTTGCTGTGTGTATCAACAGGAGCCAAAAAAGCCTAATTAAATTCAAGCCATGTGTGCAGCACATTTCCTTCTACCCACCTTTCTGATGATTCTCTTCTTCTCAGTAACACTGCATACTTTTCCTGTACAACTGCTTTCGTTGACGTGCCCAATTATAAGTTGGCAGAATCTGTGRTTTTTATGCAAATAGATGATTGAGGGAGTGTCTAAATACATTACTAAACAAAAACCGAACGGGGTTACAATCACGGACATCTGTTAGAATAGAACATGTYAAATAAAGTCAACTTTGTTCATTGTATGTAAAAAGCAAAGATGTCAGTTAATGAAATAAATTAAAACAAAGTGTTCTGTTTCTGTTGGATCGATAATCAATCGCTCCGTCTGTGCTTTATTTAAAAGCTCAGATATTGATGTTGAGTTGTCAGTGACATGCAGACGGGCGGCTTGTGTGTTAGATAAATGTGATATGGATCAGTCTGCTGTGGTGAGTCACTGTCAATGATTTACTCAATTAGCATACTGCATAGCAGGTAGATAGTAAAGGAAAGATTTAATATCATTCATCTTTTGAGACAAGATAGTCCTATGAGTATATAGCATTCTGTATTTTTATCGGTTCAATTCTTTTGGTTTTGTATCTAAAGCTTCAGATTGTATTTTAGATTTTTCCTTTTGTTGTCTTTGTGTTGTTTTCCAGGGTTCAAGGGGAAAGATTGCTCTTTGGATATTGATCTTTGCTCGTTTGGACTGTGCACCGAGCACACATTAATATGCACCGAGACCAAGGATGGACAGAATGTCACTTGCACATGTGAAAAAGGTGAGTGAGACCTTTTTAAAGGGGAGGAAGCAGTGAGAGGGGGGAATGAGTGCTTTTCTCACATCCAAAGATGAGTTGACAAAGATGAGTTGCCTGTARTGCAGAGATAAGGTGATGTACAGTAAAAACTGTAGCCTTGGGCAGTATTTATCAGTCTGCAGTTCACCCTTTTTCTATCTTTTAGATCAAGAGTACACTCTGGTTTTTTCTTAAGTTATTTTTGCTTGGTTACAGTCTCCTACTACTGCTTGATAACCTTATACCCATGTGCAAGAATGAATGGACTAAATGCTGGGTGAAAAAAAAAAGGCAAAATATATTTACATTGCATATGTCATAGAAGCCTCCAGTTTCGGTCGGTGAGATCGACAGTCTTTCTACAACACGTGCTGACAGGAATCACTCAGGAGTAAGTGGCTTGACCTGTTAAATTCACAGAAGCTTGTAAAAAGTTTTCATGATAAAAAGCTCTGGGTGCTGTAAGTGACAGTGTGTCTCTATAAAATCGTGTGCACAGGCACAAGGAATCATTCCTGGATACTGTCAGGGTACTGGAACTAAAAACATTTAGCTTGTCAGGCCAAGCATGCTTCGGTCTGCACTGCTCTACAGCAGCTATAGCAGCTCTTTGCAAACGAATGGCTATTGCATAGAAGTGCATGTAATGCAATCAATAACTTTAACATCATTACTCGTGTTGCGTTTATGCTTGGCAGATGTCAGAATGAAGGATTGTGAGTGATTTCTTATGTAAATGAAAGCAACCTCTGGCAAACTACACTCCCCAGATCGCTTCTCAAGGGTAAACTTTTGACTTGCTGTCTTGTTTAGATGTTTCATGTCAGCAGTCTTGGCATCCAGATTACTGTAATATTTGCCGGCCTAAGATCTTGCTAAACGTTGCTCACATCCTTACTTTAATTACCCTATGCTATCATTTGTTTTTAACATGCACAGCCAAAGGCAATGATGTTTTTACTCCTTCTTTTCATTTGCATAAAGCATTTGCAAAATATCACAAGAACCAGTGGACAGATTTTAAAAGAGATTTTAGAAAGTATTGTTGAATTTACATCTACAAAGAAAGTTTGGGGTCAATCCAAATCAAGCTGCCTCTGCTGATCACTTTTAGCAATCACAAAAAAACGTCTGTAAAGATGTCAGTTTTACAGATATMAAGCATGATTTGTTGTTACTAGCTGAGCATCGTCCTCATCACATACATCAATTGCTAACAAGTCGCTCAAGGTCTTACAATATAGCATGAAATTGTGCATCAAATGTCATTTACAAGGTTTGACCAAAACAAATGTATTTTCTGGACTATAAGTCACTTTGGAGTATAAGTTGCAACAGTCAAAAAATGTGTCATGAAGAGGAAAAAAACCATAGGTAATTCGCAGCTGACTAAGTCACAGGACAGATATTTAATCTGGACCAACACAATAAAACAGAACAAATCTCCTGCCTGGGATGCCGAATAGCCTTAATGAACATATGACTCAAGTGAGTAACTTTACTTGAATTTTTTGCAATGACTTTTTCTTTTTTCCACACGAGTTCAACTAAACAACATCCGCAGCAAGTTACCAACAACAAGCTAACATTAGCTTACTGTCCTCTGTCGTCCTGCCCTTTTGTCATTAGCCTCATGTTGCTGGATGGTCCGGTACAGTCTTCAGTTCTTTTCCTTCGAGTTTGGTGTAGTTGATTATTGTTGTGTTGCAAATAAAATAAAATTTGTGTGCTTGAAATGTTYATCCCTGCTGGCGTCTACAGAGCGAGGCAGCTCTCGGTTCAAACCCAACCAACCTGCCCAATGCCTTCCAATGAGCAAGTTACCTGTAAGTTCATCTCACTCCACATCACCTGATTAACTTTCTTCATTTTCTTCAATGCAGTAAGATAACTTCTGCTTGTTGCCAGTCCCTCACAAGTTACTCATTCACTCGCTCCAAACTTTCTGCTAACAACAACAAGCAACGGAACAACAAAACCTACTGTAGGCTACTAATTACAAGCTTAGAGTGCCACCTATAGGCTGCAGACTACTCCCTGGTTCATGTCAGTCAGTATGTATCAGTCAAAAAACATGTCATCAAGAAAAAAAACGTAAGTCGTCTGGAGTAAATACCGTAGGACCAGCCAAACAATGAAAAAAGATGTGACTTAAAGTCCAAAAAGTACGGTACAACCCTGACATTCCTCATAAAGAAATTATTTGAGCTTAAAAAAATTAAAGAATGCTAAACCTTTAATTATTTTTGCAGTATTATTGTAATCTCGTAATTTTATTTACTATTTTGGTGATATTTTAATACAAAAGAATACATTCTTATTATATGTTATGTGTGAGCATCTTTTTTAGTGTGGTTGCTTATTTTCAATCTAAACAGCTATTTTAGCTGTTTAGATTGAAAAGATTAGCAGATTCATTAAAGAAGATAGATTGATAGAGTTAGCAGACCAGCTCTACACCCTTAGCAGGGTCTTGGAGGGTGCATGGGAGTTCACCCAACCAGTCTATGTGTTTTGTGGACTTGGAGAAGGCATTTGCCCGTGTCCCTCAGGGACTCCTGTGGGGGGTACTCTGGGAGTATGGGGTACCAAGCCCGTTGATACGGGCTGTTAGGTCCCTGCATGACTGGTGCCAAAACTTGGTCTGCATTGCCGGTGGTAAGTCGGACTCGTTTCCGGTGAGAGTTGGACTCCGCCAAGGTTGCCCTTTGTCACCGATTCTGTTCATAACTTTTATGGACAGAATTTCTAGGAGCAGACAAGGTGTTGAGGGGATCCTTTTTGGTGACCTTAGGATCACATCTCTGCTTTTTGCGGATGATGTGGTCCTATTTGCTTCATCAGATCCTGATCTCCAGCTCTCACTGGAGCGGTTCACTGCCGAGTGTGAAGCGGCCAGGATGAGGATTAGTGCTCCAAATCCGAGACCGTGGTCTTGAGCCGGAAACCGGTATGGTGCCTCCTCTGGGTCGAGGAGGAGGTCCTGCCCCAAGTGGAGGAATTTAAGTATCTTGGGGTCTTGTTCACGAATGAGGGAAGAATTGAGCGGGAGATCGACAGGCGGATTGGTGCTGCGTCTGCAGTGATGCAGGTGCTGTACCGGTCTGTTGTGGTGAAGCGGGAGCTGAGCCAGAAGGTGAAGCTCTCGACCACCAGTCAGTCTACGTTCCTACCCTCATCTATGGTCACGAGCTTTGGGTAGTGACTGAAAGAACGAGATAGCGGATACAAGCGGCCAAAATGAGTTTCCTCCACATGGTGTCTGGGCTCTCCCTTAGAGATAGGATGAGAAGCTCGGTCATCCAGGAGCGACTCAGAGTAGAGCCGCTGCTCCTCCACGTCGAGAGGAGCCAGTTATGGTGGCTCGGGCATCTGGTAAGGATGCCTCCTGGACGCCTCCCTGGTGAGGTGTTCCGGGCACATCCCACTGGGAGGAGGCCCAGAGGAAGACCCAGGACACCCTAGAGGGACTATGTTTCTCGGCTGGCCTGGGAACGCCTTGGGATTCCCCCGGATGAGCTGGCCCAAGTGGCTGAGGAGAGGGAAGTCTTGGTCGGTCTCTCTGCTTAGGCTGCTGCCCCCGCGATCCGATCCCGGATAAGCGGCAGAAAACGGATGGACAACTATTTTAACGGAATGACTGCTCTGCTGTGTGTTGTTTCGTTGGAGCAGTGGAAGATCCTCTTTTGCCATAAATTTATTTGAGCTCTGTTTGTTTCATCAAAAGCACTTCTTGGTATGAGGTGMTTTTTATCGCTGCACAGGTTTTTGCAGTGCAGCAGTTGTTTTTGTTTGGCTTCTGTTTTGTATAATGTTCTTGTTATTTTGCAGGAAACTGCTTATTCTGCAGTAAAGCAGATGCTGCAACTGTGTCTTTTTTCATATTTATATATCTTCTTTTTTTCTTCTTTTTTTATTTTTCACCTCATAGCTTATAGTGGAAAACATTTCCCAAAACTTATGCTCTCTTCCACCTTGGCTGACTTGTGTAAAACACAACATTTATATTGTACACACACATACAGATTCTCCACTGTGGGTGAGTTTGAGGTTACACCTGTAATAATAAGCCTTAAACACTGGAATGATTTCTCTCCAGCGTGGCCAGCCAGACTGCATGTGTGTGGTTGTTAGGCATGCGCACTGGTGCGTGCTGTTTGTTTGATGTGCTTCTGTCTGTGTATAGATTGACTTTGATTTTGAAGAAGGAATTTTGGCCTGTTTAATATAATAAATCAGAAGGGCAATGACGGGTGCTTATTAAACATGATTAAATGATCCAGTGAGCTGAGTCTGCCCGTTTTCAGCAAGAGCTTTGAATCAATACCAGCTTTGAAAACCAGCTTTTGTTTGTGAAAACAAAGTCATGCTGATCCTAATTGGCGAAGGAATGAAACCAAGCAAAAAGAGCTGCAATAAAAATGCTCCTCCTCCCACCACAGTTTTTATTTTTTTGTTTTGTTTTTTTTCGTTTTGCTCCAGGGTTTGGAGGGTCGTTTTGTGAAGTAAATCTCAATGACTGCGAGTCAAAACCATGTCAGAATGGTGGCATTTGTGTGGATGGCAATGACCTATATCAGTGTCTGTGCTCAGAGGGTAAGTTGCAATAAATTAATGTCCAGTTTTAGTTAAAATGTTGCAGTTATGACTTATTTATGCTTTATTAGTGTTTATGTGCGCAACCAYTTTTCATTCTGAAGCTATAACCAATTATAAAATTTATGCAGAAGCTTACAATCTTTCAATAATTGTGGGTATATTAACAGACATGATGAGGTAGCTGCTGATGTGTTTATTCTGACAGTGGACTACATTGGTATGAGGTCTGGTTTTCTCCTCCTGAATAAATCCCTTCATTGACTAAATAAAAGGTCTAATACAAAGTGAGAAAAAAATGATCGGAGTCAACTTTCCCCTGGCTTTATGTGATAAAAGAGTCTACAATTCTTTTGAAGTTGTTGTATTCACTGTTTTAGTTTCAGCATTGCCTACTTTCTGAGTGTCTGCCTCTATTCTATGTTTTTTCTGAGGACCCCCGTTCTGAAAAAAGTTGGGAGTGGCTGTAAATAAAAAAAGCTGAAGGCAATGAAATGCAAATGTCATAAAATCATATTATTTTCTAAATAAAACATGGTTAACTACAAGGTTAACTGTTGAAACTAATAAATGATTCATTTTTTACAATCTACAATAATATCAATTTTTTTCACTTTAAGGCATCTAAAAAAGTAATTATGATGTCATGTTTGTCACTGTGAAGAATCCCTCTTTGTTTTAACAGCAGTTTGTAAAAGTCTAGGAACTGAGGAGACCAGTTGCTGTGGTTTTGGAGGTGAATGTTCCATTCTTGTCTTATGTTGGATTTTAGCTGCTCAACAGACCCTGAGCATCTTTGACACATTTTTCTTTATTGCTGGAAAGGAGCATATGCTGTTCTTCAACATTTATATGCATCTCTGCATTTATGATGCCTTTGRGGATGTGTAAGCCGCCCAATTCAGTGGTACTAATGCACCCTTATACCATCAGAGATGAAGGTTTGTGACCTGTGCACTGAAAACAGACCAGATGATCCCTCTTCTCTTTAATATAGGACGCGGCGTTGTTTCTAAAAATTTGTCATTTTTGTCAGAACAGAGAACTTTTTTTTTCACTTTAGTTTATGTTAAATAACTTTTGGTCCAGAGAAGTAGGCAGATATTTAAATATGTAAGGGCAGAAGATTTTTTCTTCTTTCTGTTTAATTTCATTTCATTCATGACTGGTTTTGTTTTTATTGTACATAGATTATTTTTTTGTTTTTAAATGAATGCATAAATGAACAAATGAATATGTAGATTGGTAGAGATTAATAGAGCAAGTAAGAGTAGAGTTTGAGTCAGTGTGRTTACTAAAAATCTATTTGTTTACTCTTTCTAAAATAGCTGTTTTTAAATCCTCATACAATGTTTTGTACTCATGAGAATTTTCATTCGTGCATGTTTACATGTCACCCCCAGCCTGTTTAATATTCATAAGTTTAACCAATATTTGCCAAGATTCCTCAAGTCACATCTGAATTTGTAACTTGCATCATTAGCGTGCGAATAAATAAATCTCGTATTTTTTCCCCAATAATTTTTTGGTCCAGTTGAAAACCTACCTGTCTGACATACCTCTGGCTAAACGTTGATTGCAGGTGAAGTCTATTATGCATTTTTAACGAAGTCAGGATAATTGTCAAATTTTATGACTTGGAGAGAGATGGAAATTGGTTCCATGGTCAGTTTGAGAAATGATGAGGATTTGACCTGCACCGATGGTGCTGATAGCTAAGCATTAGTCATGGGTCTCCTGTAGCTGCGGTGTGTGACGGTGCTAATGATAGTCATTTTGTAGCGTGACCATGTGGTGGAATATGTTTATAGGAGACAGGAAAAAAAGCCCAGAAATTGCAGCACTTGCTTGTACTTTATGACTTTAACTGTTTTGATTTAAAAAAAAACAAGGAAAAAAAAAAACAAAATTTGAAGATATACAATAACTTCAAGTAAATCACTGGAAAACTACATCTTGTGCACAGTGTGAAAAATAATTACACATTTTCTCCTTCCTCTCCTCTACAGATGCACTTGTTAATTTGTGATGAGCTTGCAGTGAAAAGTCATGTCGAATTTCATCACTTTTGGATGTCATTTGATACCAATTAGTATCATTTTAAAGTCTGGTATTTACTGACATTCATACATCGTCTCTGGTGGATTAATTTTTTTATTTTTATTTTTTCAGGCTTTCAGGGTTTCAACTGTGAAATCAACTATGATGAATGCACCCATGGATACTGTTCCAATAATTCCACATGTATTGACTTGGTTGCAGATTATGAGTGCATCTGTCCTTCAGGCTTTGCTGGTGAGTTATTTTTATCATTTTACCAGCAGTCCTTAAAGAGTATAGCATAGATTGATGACTCGAGCACTGATAACCATCAAACTGTCCCCGATTGCATGCAAGAGTTCACTCAGTGATTCCCTAAGGATTGCAGCAGAACCAGGATAAAGAGATAATTGTTTTTTTCTCCTGCATGAACCAAAGGGATCATTCAGATTTTTTGAAAAGGGCTTTTTTTTAAAGTTTAACAATTACTTTCTTTATCTGTTGTAGATACCTTTTATTAAATAGCTTTAATTTGGGGGAAAATGTTTAAATATGATCTGATTGATAAACTAATGGGTAGTCCAAAGAGGCCAAGACCAAAATAGCTCTAATCTGAAAGTGTTCCAGACGGTGTTCAAAGTATCTGCTGCTTCCACTATTTATGCTTGCAAATAAACACAGATTTCTATGCAAATAAAAAAATAAAGAAATGCTGTCAAAAGTTAATTATGATGTAAAGTTTTTTTTAAAATAAGATACATGAACTGTTTAAAACATAGGGTCTAATTGTTCATAATATTCCTAAGAACCCCTTTTAAAAAAATCTGCATTATCCCTTTAAACAGTTTCAACATTACTTCAAACATAAAACTAATGTTTGAAAACTGCTCTGCAGCTTGAATGAAACCCAGAAGTGCATCCAGCACAATGTAAGTTAGATTGCCAAGTGCATCACTATACAAACTTTACACATATGTAATGATTTTAAACATTATTGCAATAAAATATCAACCATCACATTTGTAGGTGTTAAGCTGTTATAATAAAAAGAAGATAAAATACATTTTATTTACTTTCACATTTTATAAAATCTGAATTAGTGTGTTTGTGGCACAATAAAAATACAAGAAAGTGTTAGTTATTGCACCCTACTGGCCTCAAAAGCAATTCAAATGTCATCGAATGCTGATTCATGCCATGTGCAGATACACTTGTTATATAAGACTACAGAAGTTTGTCATTTTAACTTTTTTTGTTTTGTTTTGTTCTTGCTTTTATGATACTAATTTTGGCATCTTCACTGTTTTTTCAGGCAAAAATTGCTCCATATCTCTGTCTGCTTGCACAGCAGATGTGGAGTTCTGCAGAAATGGCGGAACTTGTTCCCACAATTTGGCTGGAGAAAAAGAATGTATTTGTCCCTTAGGTAATAAAAAAAAATATGTAAAGAGATTGATTCAATAAAATGTGTTTTTGTTTTGACATAAGGGTAGTTCTTTCTTTTGCTCTTTAGTATAGTCTCATAATGTATTGCATTCTGTCACTATTACCATCTATATGAGTGTTTTTTATTGCAGTAGAATTAATGGTACAGATGGTAATCTCTTTACCAAAGAGTTAATGAAAAAGCCAAAATCAATATTAATAAATTAATTTACTTTTTTTTTTTTTACCTCAAATTGTATTTAACTGATGCTAACAACTCTTACTGGTTTTAGTGCATTCTGTTCTGGGTGAATGAATTGTAGAAATAAGACATGAAAAATAATTGCAACATGTTTTCTATTTTTTATTATTATTTGGCCAGATGTAGGCAGTCCTATGACAACTGCATACTGCACATCACCTCTTTGATTCCAACTCTTCCAGGGTACCAAGGCAAAGACTGCTCCTTGTCTCTGAGCCAGTGTGTATCTAATCCGTGCGACCCTGAAGGGACTATTCTCTGTGAAGAGCTGGAAAGTACTTACAGATGCTTGTGTCATCATGGCTACACTGGGACGCGCTGCGAAACACGTATAAACCACTGTGTTGATGGCCTTTGTCAACACAGTTCGTTGTGTGTGGATCTGTCAGGAGGGTTCAGATGTGATTGTTTACCAGGTAGGTTGGCCCTTCAGTCGGCGCTTGTTTCTGATGGAGGCATTCCCTCAACTGAAGCATGTACATAAGCAGACACACTTCCAGCTGATGCTTTCACTTGTTCGGCTTTCTTCTCTGTAGGAGCCTAATCTCTTTGGCCTTAAGCAACAACACGTTACAGTGTTACAGCCTTTATGTATTGTGCAAGTCAGGGCTCAGCTCATCAGGATGTGAGCTGACTTCAAAGCAGCGATGATGCGTAGGACGTCTACACATTGGAGTTTTATCAAAGTAGTAGTTTACTGTCAATGGAGCACGCGAGCAAATACGCATCACTTAGCTTTTTGGGGGAAATGCAACTGACATGTTATTTTAAATGTAACATTTAAATTTCCACCAGCTAAAAAATTTTTCTTAAAATATTTTAACTCAGAGGTCATTACAGTGCTTACACAAAGCTGATTATTTTTAATTATTTTTTGTGAACAAATACACATATATATTCTTTTGATTAATGATTAGCTAAATGCAAAATTAATTTTCATAATATATTATATTTGTAGTAGTATTTAATTGTGTACCAGTTTTTCTAAAGTACCCAAACTAAAGTACAAGTACACAATGATTATAAAAACACTTTTTTCCCCTTTAGAACCCAAGACTAACTCTTGATACATAACTGTTTTTCACAGTGCCCAAAGTTTAAACAGTCATGTCACATTTCATCTGACTTTTACATCTGTGAGGTGGGGCTGAGCAGATACCCACGTGATAATGATACTAACCTCGAGTCATGACATTTAAATCATGTTATTCCCCATATCTTCAGCAGCAGAACAGAAGTCCAGTTACTWTGTCTTTTTTCTTTGAATTTTCCATGTCCTGGATGACTGAGAATCCACAAAAACATATGATAGTAGCGTTGTGTCGATACTAAACTTATTGGTTCAGTACTTTAGCTAGTTTTACTATGAGTTTTTTGCTTTGTTCGCTGCTCTGGAGCAGCCAGCCAGAAGATGGTTAAGATCTAAACAGTAAACTAAACAAGCATGTCAGGTATTTAATTGCCTCTGATATCATAACTTTAGAATCTAGTTTTATCCACAGATTGAGACCTGTTCACATCTACAGACAGCCCTCTGAATGTGATGTTACATCATCTTCTGTGCATTTATAATGTGAACGTCCATGCAGAAAAAAATGGGTAAACTACAGTTTGAATGAGTACAAGTACTTTTAAAATTGCTGGTATCAGGTTTGATATATCAATATCGGTACCACTTTACAAAAAGGCTCCCCTTATAGGTGGCTTGTAAATAGTTTATAGATAGGTTATTAATTCATCTGTAACCACTTTATAAATCATTAATAAGTGTTTATCATGCATTAATCAAGAATAAGAAAGAGATTGGTTTCTTGCTACTGAGCCAAATCTGTTCATGTACATATTATAAAGTGTTATATTAAACATTTCACACTAGGTTAACTTGTAAGCACAATAATGTATTGGAAACACATATTTACAGTAGTTACACTATTTATGATAAATAAATGTGTATAAAAGTCATAATGGAGCCTTATAAATAGTGTACAGTCTTACACTTTACAATAAAGCTCCCTTTGATAGTTGTGGATATGTATAATACAGTGGAATATTATATGTAAAATATGTATTTCTAATACATTGTTGTATTTACAAGGTAGTAACCTAGTTTGAAATGTTTAATATAGCACTTTATATGTACGTGAACAGATTTGGCTCACTTTTTGACCAAAAACTGGACAGTTTTGTCTTTCTCGTCTTTTATTAATGCATAATAAACACTTAATGATGTATAAAGTGTTTACAGATTAATTAATAACCTATCTATAAAGTATTTATGAGGGGAGCCTTATTGTAAAGTGGTACCTCAATATCAGTATCATGACTCCACTAGTATGGTGTTCTGCTCCTACTGCTATTGAAAACATTGGGCCTCATGCAAGAAACATTCGTACGCACATTGTTCTTAAATTGTGCGTACGAGTGATTTAGGAGAATTTGTGACATTCACCAATGTTTTCGTATTCTAAGATTTTCTTCAGATACGAACAAAATTTACGAGTGGTCCAGACCTGTCGTATATTTTACGTGAAGTCAGTCTGCTGTTATCCAGARGGGTTTTCTTCACTAATAACTTTATATTTCGTTAGTTTGAAGATATTTTGAGTTGAAAATAAATCACACTGCATAATTATGTTGACAATAGGCTATTCTGCTTGAATTAGAGTTATAATTTTAAATGTAATAATTTAGTCTAACAAAATAAATTGTCCGTCCAGCCGGCTTATCCGCTATCAGGTGCGGCAGGGGGGCGCTGCGGCTTCTGAATAAATGAAAATGATTTAACACAGTTGTTTATACTTTTAGCAGCTCTTTTTATCCCACAGCTGACCTGCTAAAAATGACAGATTTTCTTTTCTGGATCTCTGACAGACGGACTTCAATCTCTGAACTCGTAAAGTTCTTTTACGTTTTCGCTGTCATTTTCATGAATGAATGGACACTTCCTTGTATCTGAGGCAGGAAACACAGCCTTATATGGTGTATTTGGGGTGGTAATTATGCTAATCTCCTCTCGCGTGCACGAGCAGCTGGATACGAACAGGTGGAATTTACGCAGCTCGTTTACACACTTTTCATGAAGATAGAAGAGTTTGTTGAATCTGACGTGACATGTTCGTACGAACCCTTTGTACGAACAAAAGTAAGATAAATTTAGGAGAAGAATACGAACATGTTCTTGCATGAGGCCCATTGAATATGGTCACTCTTGAGAGTGTTTCCTACTGGGTGAAAATTAATACGTTAAAACATATTCAAAGTAAGCTCTTTAAGAATGTTTTTTTTTTCCTTTTCCAGGCTTAACAGGGCATTTTTGTGAGGTAAACATTGACAACTGTGCAGGAGATCCATGTGGAGTTCTGAGTGTTTGTAAAGATGCTCTGAACGGATACAGTTGCTTTTGTGCTCCAGGATTTATTGGTAAGTTTAAGCTATGTTCATTTTAAAGTGCTTTTTTTTTTTATCACGCTCAGAAGCAATCACATTGTGCTGTTTTCGTACATTTTCAGGAAATAACTGTGAGATTGAAGTGAATGAATGTCTGAGCCAGCCTTGCCTGAACGGAGGCTCCTGCATGGATGAGCTTGACTCATTTAGTTGTCAGTGTCCTCTAGGGATAACAGGTTGGTGATGGCTTTTTAAAGTGTCAGTTAAATTAGAAAATACTCATAAATATATAAATAGTTTCTTGATTTCAAATGAACTTCTCAAAATTATAGTCTGTTTTAAAACGTTCTTAAAATGTGAATTAAGCTGGTGCCTATGTAAATGTCATTTTGTGAGAGGCAGCATAGGAAAACATTCCAAAATGTATTCTTTCAATCAACAAATTTTTAAAAATGTATTTAATTATTTTTAGTTAAAATTGCATTATTATCTTTGGTTAAAATCTGCAACCACATCCTCCTAAAGGTTATTCTTTAAAAAGTCTATTGAACTTCCCTGCTCTCTCCAGTCCCAGTCTTTAGAAGGGTTCTCAAGTTTGGAACAGGATTTCAGTCAGACGAGAAAAGAGGTCAAGATGTTATTTGGTAATCCTTCAGGTCTTTGCTGGCTTATCGTTCAGAGAAGCATTTGGATAAAGATCAAGGCTTTCTAATGCAATGGTTCCCAAAGATGGGGTCAGGACACCATTAGTTGTGAAACATAAATCAGAACGCCTTGAGGTGATCTCTAGAAATCAGATTCAATTTGAATGATTGCCAATTGCCTTATTTCTCCACAGTTTGCACAAATCATAAAAAAACTTTTGTTATAAATGAACAAAAGGACAAAAATGGTATGACCTGTTGGTGAGGCTGTTTGCAGCGCTGTCATGCTTTTGTTTAATTGGTTTAATAGCAGTGTTTGTGTATTACAACCAACGCTAACAGGGACACTTCTCTCTTTTACTTTTTTTTTCCTCAGTGCAGCTTTTTGTCTGTTTCACACCTCAGTGGTTTACAGTCTAAAAATAACTGACTTTAGACCAAGTCAATTTGGCTTACTTAATACACTAAAATTAATCATGTGAAATGTACGGGACGCAATATGGAACTGAAATTTAAATTGCTTGTTTACTATTATTACTATTATTACTATTATTACTGCATGCGCCTTCGCCCAGAGAAGAAAACCATTGCTTTTGGTCAGAGCTGAGGAGAAGTCGACAGTATCCATCCGGAACACCTCCTCTGGCCTGTTGGCAGTGGCTTGGGACCGGGAGCTGAAAGTTGATCTCGGCAGGCAGCTGAAGTTCCCAGAAATAGTCGCCAAAGCGTCGTTAAGGCCAGACATCTTACTTATCTCAGAAGCTGAGAAGCAGGTTGTTCTCTTGGAGCTCACGGTGTCGTGGGAGGACTGAATGGAGGAAGAGAGGAATAGGATGAAGTTCTCCAAGCTGGTGGAGGAGAGCCGGAGAAATGGCTGGCAAGCGAGATGCAAACCCATTGAGGTGGGATGTAGAGGGTTCATGGGCCAGTCCTTCTGCAGAGCCTACAGGATGCTGGGTGTTACAGGGGCCAGTCAGCGCAGAGCAGTTACCGTATTTATTCAAGTATAATACGTAACATTTAATCCATGAAATCATCCATAAAGTTGGGGGTTAGTACTATACTTGGATAAATATTTTTATTTATGAATTTTAACTGAAATATCGGCTTCATTCACAAAATTATTGAGTCTGGAAATGAGACCACATCGTAAAAAGCAGTTGAAACAAGCTTACCCCTGACACTCCTCCATGCTTCAGAACGAGATAATAACAGATCCAGTCAGGTGACATGATGTYAAAAAAGGAGGAAAAAGTATTCCTGCACCTTAGTAATGATAACGAACTAATGACATTAGCGTGTAACCGAGTCGCTCCTCGAGCAACAACAAACACATGTTCGTCTGTAATGGCTGCCYTRTACRGGTGTTCTGAAAAAGTTTGTATCCCTGAAAAAATGTTTCCCCACCAGAGGGGGCGCTCGCGAGTAGGAAGTAATCCGCATTTCCCCCACAAGATGGCCCAAATCTCATGTGAACTCTCTGAATTTTGTGTTGGCGCCTCCTTGTGGACTATATGTAAAATGCCAGAATTCATATGATGCTCAAAAATATATTTGTTGTCAAAAACCTTTTAGTACATATGTTGTTAAAATAAAATGAACAGTCCAATGATCATTTTACTGATATGTATAAAGACTGCAAAGCCTGAAAAATCTTGAATTCTGTATGAAATTGGAGGTAATTAGAGGATTAAATTTTTTATGCTTTTTAAGCTCAAAAATGGGGGGTCGTATTATATATGAGATCGTATTATACATGAATAAATACAGTAAGTTGCTGACGCAGCAGAAGTGGCGCTGTGGTGGTTGTAGATCAGGATAAGAGAGGCATTGGAAAAGTAGTGCTATTTGGACACAAGCTAGGGCGTGTCCATAGGGTTGGGTCACCTGGGTGAGGGGTTCTGATTGGGGGGTTTGGGTCTTTCAACAATGACCCCAGTTTATGTCACTGACAATGTGTCCAGGAACATCACAAGGCAGTGTATTAATGAGGAAGAAGTGTGCATAAACAACCTTGGCCTGTTTCTTGTGCATTCAGAAACTGCATAAAAAATACTAAGAGCCTAGTTTTGTTGGAGCATAAACTTCAAGAAACACAACCATTTAAGAAAAAAGAAAGAAATATGATCTGYGAAAAAGGTAAAGAATATGCCGAAATGAAATAAAAGCTGTACCACTAAGCAGGGAGTTAAGTACACATAGGCTAAAATAGAACCTCATTGTCAACGTGCCAGCATTTACCTCAAACAAACCTTTTTTGGCWCCCTTGTCTACAGGGAAGGCAGTGAGGTTATAAAGCAAGCTCTGTCCTTTGTAGTGTTACAAGAGCAGCACAAACAGTACTCTGTAATTACACGAACTGTTGGTGTAATTCAAAGCCCCATTATCATGTTGGCATTTCACACTTTGTAACAGCCTCCTCTAGCGCTCACAGAGACTGTAAATGTGGGAAACAGTGATAGTGCAAAATGAGAAAAGAAACATCTCGTGTCTTTGTGCGCGCTGCTGATCTGCTTTGTGCTTTCGCCCAAAACAAACTGGGAGAATAATTCACTTTCCATGATGCACGGACCACTTTTAGTGCCCCGCTGTTTAATTATTAACAATTAGGATATTCAAAGATTTTGTTTTATTGAAGACAACGTATCAAAATGTTTAATCAAAAGTTTTTAGAACAGCTAAAACCAGCATTTGTTTTAAATGTTATTTCAGGCGTCTTCTGTGAAGTCAATATAGATGACTGCATGTCGTCTCCCTGTCTGCACAGTGCCACGTGTGTTGACCTTGTTCACAGCTACAAATGTATCTGTAAGCCTGGCTTTACAGGTTAGTGCTRCTAATACACTTCTTTGTCTTTGTTCAATGAGATAAATATGCAAAACTTTGATCATCTGAAAAAGTTGGGGTCCTGATACCAACCTGAAACATTGTTGTTGACTTTTTAGTAAAACATGGTTAAAAACAGCATGATAAGTATTTGGGGAACAATATGAAGGCATGGCACATGTATAATTACAGATGGGTTAAGTCTCTTTTTTGGTAATAAAGATAATATGTTGCGGAAAAAAAAGGAAATTGTTTTTTTAAGTGCCGCAATGCCATGGGAAATTTATCATGCATTATAGCTCCATTTAGCACACGGGAGCTGAATTATTAACTTTAAAATGATGCTCTTTGTTAACTGCTAAAAATGTATTCTCAGGAAATGCATCCATAGTTGTCAGGTTTGTGCTGGCTTTCTACGATAAACACTTTGTATTTCAAGATTGGTATGGTGTGAGCCAATGTTTAAAAACTCTTGAGTAAACACAATCCGTTCCTCTGCTGTTTGAAATTATGAGCTGTTTTGTTACACAAACACAAGATTAATTGCCAAAGGCCTAATGTGAGTCACCCTTCATTTGAACATATTTATCAATTTGTGCTGCTTTTTTTTTTGTCAAAGGTACAATATGTGAACTTGACATTGATGAGTGCGCTTCATCTCCTTGCAAGAATGGAGCAACTTGCATTGACCTGCCCAGTAATTACTTCTGCCAGTGTGTGGCTCCTTTTAAAGGTAATGAGCACTGAGGGAAGGGGGACAAAAAAGCAAAGTTAATTAACTTCACATACTATTATTTTCACCTGTCTGGACCCACTTCACACGGTGCAACAAAATGAATGCATCCTCATTTGCCATCTCTTGTTAAATAAAGAAAACTTGAGTGATTAGGCKGATGTGAGCCATGTTGGATGTTTGTGCCATCCAGGTGACAACTTTCATCACTTCGTYGAGGGACAGAATTAGTGTCATTATCAGTGTAGATAAAGCAAATACTTATAAGAAGTCTTATTTTTCCAAAAACACTTCACCTTTTTGAAATCCTGTTTAATCTTTGCTCTTTCCTGGTAGAGTTTTTTAAATTATCACACTAGAAGAAAGTGTCTGTTGGATCTTTTGTCTATATAAGCCTAGATAAAGAAAGGCACAATTCCACAAAACTTTAGTGTCAGTATTTGTGCTGTAGTCTGAGCAGTTTTAAAAACAGATTTTAATATCACATTTGAAGGACTTGGATAAGAGTCGCACAGTTCGATTCTCAAACACACAACACTGGAAATTGTTAATAAATATGAAAATCATTTTACCCAGCCTGACATTTTCCTGACACATTCTGGAAGGACCATTATTAAAACCTGAAGGCCTCTCTGACAGATCTAATTAGCTTTTTGGTTATGAGACTTCTTTGGAAAGTCAACAGTCAAGACAGCACTTCACAAATTTGAGCATTACAGGAACAAAGCTGAGGAAATAATTACTGTAAAAATAAAAAAAATAAAAAACGCACCATCATTTAAAAAAACGACGTTTCAAAGAATCACTGACGTTTAGAGAAAAATTAAGAGCTGAGTTGAAAGTAAAGATGTAAGATGTAAGAAATGAAGCTCTGCAGCATAATCAGCAGGACTTCTTAATGTGCTAGTCATCAATTATGGATGTGAGAGGTTCTCACTGTCAAAGATAATGGGAACTATATAATGTACAAAAAAAATCAGAAGAAATTGACTTTGTTCGAGTATTTGCTTCTCTGCCAGAGATCCCTTGATACATTCTTAAAATTTAAAGTGTAGTGTGGGGTAACATAAACGATTTCAGTTTATTGTTTATAAAGATTACAGTGGTTTTATAATTAAGAAACACAAATACGTTAGCTTCCATATCCACAGATTTAATAGTGTATGTTTGATCCTGGTAGGAGTTTGAAACCAAGCAGCTGGACTACATTTTCTTGTCTGTGGAAGATGTTTTGTTTCAGTCGAGTAAGTCTGAACTAAGAAAGCTGTTTGGATGAGAAACCAAATGTCTTCAACAAACAAGAAAGGAAGTTCAGTTGATTTGTTTCCAACTCTTAAGATTTGCCATGTCCTGCATCGCTGAGAATCTACACAAATGTCACACAAAGGCAAAATATAGGTTAAATTCGTATTTTTGAAAGTGTTGTTTTATTTTTAGAAATGTTGTACTGAACGATCCCTTGATGTGTTTTTATATACTGTACATATATTTTTTATTCTTAACTTCAGGTCAAAATTGTGAATTCTTACCCTGTGAGGCCAGTAATCCCTGCGAGAACGGTGCAGTGTGTGTGGAGGAGTTGGATCAGGACCGTTTCCCTTTAGGCTTCCGCTGTCACTGTCGTCGGGGCTTCACTGGCCCCCGCTGTGAAATCAATGTGGATGAGTGCAGCTCCAGTCCCTGTTTTCACGGTTTCTGCTATGATGGTGAGAAACAGCTTATGTTGGCAACATTCTTAATAAACAGGCCCTTCCAAAAGAGTGGAAAGCACATGCACTCGCACACATGCGTTCAAACACACAGACACACACGCTCGTGTTATTTTGTTTTGCACAAACCATCTTTAGGCATAAAAAATCTGATTTCAGGATTTACTAAACCAGCACCGGTTTGGTCCCTGCATCTTTTAAACACTTGTGCTTTTATGCTTAACCTTATTGCACAAGTAGTTCTGATACATTTGCTTTTACTGCAACATTTCACAAAGAGGGGTATTTTAAATAAATAATGTGCTGTCATTTGCTAAGGTTTCAGTATATTAGCTGAATGGCTATAGATTATGTTAATGTTTACTGCTAAAAAGCAATATGTCTTACATTTTTCACTTGGCCTGAGTCTGACATTTGGTAAGAGGAAGCACAATCTCACTCAAACTTCTGAAATCTTATTTTCTGCTTACTCAATTTTTGACTGTAATATATTTTCTACAGCTGGGATTTCTCGCTTTACTTTGTTTTCTTTAATTAAAATTATCTAGCAGGTTTGCATGTGTAAATAGAAGTAGTCTCTCTACAGCGGGTAAAATAAGTATTGAACACATCAACATTTTTCTCAGTAAATATATTACTAGAGGTGCTAATGACATGAAATTTTCAACAGATGTCGGTAACAACCCAAGTGATCCATACATACAAAGAAATCAAACCATAAATGTCCAGAAATGAAGTTATTTGTAATAATGTGGAATGGCACAGGGAATAAGTTCTGACGTAGCGAACATTGAAGCAGGCAGTATGCACGGGATTTCATTCCGGTGGAGTTCAATGCAAGAAAAGAGTCAGTCATCACCCAACGTTCTTCATCCACAAACTGGTCCCGGATTAAGC